TTCTTGTTCCCTTATGCTTCCCAAAATTAACCCAGTCTTAACTTTGTCCCTAAATAATACATTGAATAATTTGTGTAAAATGCTGGGACTCTTTAACTCACATAGTTTTATAGGATTAGAAAACTATTTGATTTGGTCTTTATTTACATTTTAAGGAGCGTCCAAACATTTTCAGAATTATTCATATACATTTTATAATATAGTCCAGCAGTGTTATTCCGCTATAAAAATGGTGGCCCCTCCCCCTGGTTTTGTCACAAATAAACTTTGCTTCTCTATAGCAGCTCTATGAGCATCACACAGATAGTATCCCTCTCGAACAGCTTTTATGAAACCATCCACTTTCTCCACAGGGACCATGGACACTGCACAGCCTCCCCATCCTGCTCCAGTCAGCCGAGACCCCACTGCCCCAGATTTCCTATAGGTAGAGAAAAACATGATTTTAAGTAATTCATATGTTGATTGGTTGAAAACATCCAGATGGAAAATCTTCAATATTATACCAAAAAATAATATAAAAACAGTTTTTATTTTATTTGAGGTTTAACTGTCCAAATAACAGATATTTTGCCATGAAGGATCAAGTATGACTGTTGGTAAGAGGTGGACAATCTATCATTGGAATATCAGAGTGATGTTGTTAGTATCTAGAATGTGTGGAATACTATCATCAGCACATGACTTACAGGCAGAGTTGGACGAGTTGGTCGAGCTCAGAGCAGCTGCATTCGTACAGGTCTCTGCAGCTGATGTGGCTCTGGTTCATGAGGTCGCCGAGGAGGGTCAGGGCATCAGCAGGCTCAGAGTCACACACATCTTTGAACTGCAGCACCCGCGACGCCTCACTGTAGACATGCTTCGCCCGCTGGTACAGCTTGAAGTGGGTTACTGAGGAAGTATGTTGGCAAAAAAAAATTAAATTACATACTTTATATGGTGGTTATATCTTAAGCAAGTAACATTATAGTAATTGACAGTAACAAAACATTGAAATGTCATATTTCAATATGCAAAAGGGACTGTAATGGGTAAGTCTAGTGTTAATTCACCTATATTCATCAACAAAAACCCAAAAACAGCAACAACAACAAAAAAATCTGTTGTTGTATGCACAGAATGCATATTGGCCTACCATGCTGTGTGTTGGCACTCAGTAGCTCGGTACAGAACTGCTCAGAGGTGATGCCCAGAGCCTTGCAGATCTCCTCTCTGGTGAATGGCTCAGGATGAAGCACCTCCTCCACCAGTGCCTCCATCTCGTCCAGAGACGCCTCTAGCTCCCTCTGAACCTGAGCCAGCTTCAGTAACCTGCTGCAGTCCAGGCCCCGAGCCTTCGCCAGCATCTAACAATGTGCAACATATATGAAAGGAGGAAATAATGAGACATATGTGTTTGCATTTACTACTTGGATGTATTTACTAATTCACCATTAGAAGAAGTCTTTTAAAAGCATAACAAATATTTGAAAATCCTTAAAGCTGCAGTTCATTCAATATCAATTTATAACATGTGCGTGCAATGTACTGTATACTATATATGCAGTAAAATGCTTATTTGGAAAGGAAAAATTTCCCACTAAATATATGTAAGGCAACAATGAAGAGGTATTGCACGTGGAAAATGGAGGACAGAGGATACCTTTGCTGCGATGCGACATTCAACCACACGGATGTTGAAGTGAGAGGAAGCAGCTTTATTCATCTCCACACAGCAGTTTGATATGACAAACACAGCCCCAGAAGGGAGTTTCACATCAGTGGCACGGAGAGGCTGGAACTCAATCAGCTTTGCCTTTTGAGAGACGAGACGTGCAAATAATTACAACTGTAAACTATCAGAAAGGAGAGATAGCAGTAAATTCATTCTAGATCATATCTGATATGGAATGAGTGGTATTATACAGGTAGCTAAAGCTGTCTTAAGTTGTTTATCTCTTAAACAGACATCTACCCTAGAGTGAATCTTCACTGTCATGATCATAAATATACAACAATACAATCAGTGAACAAATTTGTCACTGGTCTATACCTTTCCACTTTCTGCTAAAAATGAAATAGACTGGTCCATGCCTCCTCCCTCAGTGCCAATGTAGCGTTCACACTTGGCACAAATCTCAGCCAGAGCTACCTGGAATGCATAAAATAAAACAAACTCAGGTTGTACCATCTCAGCAATCCATCCCATTGTGGATTTAAATGTACTATGTAGCAAAGTTATTTTTTCATGGTAATTATTTATACCTTAGAGAGAGACTTTTGATTTGCCTCCATGGTTACAAGCCCTGCACAACAAACCAGAGCACTGGAGCTGGAGAGGCCAGAGCTTGGAGGAACTGTCCCATCAACAACACATGATATTCCTGCCAAATTTGTAATGCCAAAGTTTTCCTAACATACAACAGGATATATAGATTTTTAAGTAACACTTGAGGTGCCGATACGTTGATAGTAATAAAACAGGTTTTACCTGAATCCCTTTAACTCCGCAAAGAAAATAATAATACCATTTTGGATTGTCCCGATCAATGGCAATGTCCTGAGTACTGGAAACGCTATAATCCCTACAATACAATACAAAAAAAAAAACAGGAACTTTAAGTTACATAAAACATAATGACATGTAGATTCTTTCTGTGAAAGCTTACGTGTATAAAGGATTTGTATTGGCCAGCTGGATTATCCCTGATTTATTCACGGTTACAGCTGCAAGGATACTCTGTTCAATTGCCATGGGAAGGACTGAATAGCCACAGTAATCAATATGCTCTCCTGGAAAGATTATAAGAGTATGCATGAGTTTTCTGATACAGATAATAATTTGGTTATTAAAGCAAAATTACATTGCTTACCAATTAGGTTAACTCTTCCAGGAGCACATGTATAGAACTGAGGAGATTCCCCATACTTTTTTTCAAAGGCAATTTTTAAGGCTTGCAACCTGTATGACAATAAAAGATTACATTCAGTAACATGTTTTTGACACACAGTATATTTACATTGCTCACCTGTCATTCGCAGAAATCACTGTGGCTATCTTGGGTGGGTAGGAAGCCATTTCATTCATCCAAACTAACTTTAATAATTGTACACGTCCAGTTAATAATTGTACACGTTCAACTGAGAGGAAGATTTTTTTAAAGATATGATATGATCACATGACAATCACAAGAAGGAGCTCAATGTCAAGTAGCGGACTCAAGATCAGCTCCGGTACTTAGGCTGTCAATGTAGTGCAGCAAAGTTGATATTTTCGATCTGATTCTGAAACAGCTGCAAAGTCTACAATACGGAAGTGTCAAGAAAACAATGGGCGTGTCAAGAACACGTCACTTAATTTGTACCTGAAAGATATTAAACGTTTTCTTGTTTAGGCAAAATTGTCAATACTTTTCATAGAATATGCCATAAAATAATTAAGGTCATAGATATCGGAGCAAAAATGTGCAAACAAAAACGCAGACTTAATCATTGACTACATTTCCCAGAATGCTCCATACTTCTGTTTCCATAGAGACGTAATTTTTTCACACTTCCTGGTTGAGAGCGTTATTATCGAAATTTTGTTGAAACGTGTTTGGAAATAGTTTATTATGTTGAGATTTCGGAAACAAGAAAGCAGAGATTCGGGTTATAACATACAACGACATCTGTGTTATTTTCCCAGAGTTTTTTTTTCACATTTGTGGCTCTTTCGCGCTGCTGCTGCGCGGGACTTTTCAAAGTGGGCGAGTCTCTTAAAGTGCACGCTTGACTAATGCTAACCCCGGGGATAGCTTCAAAACATTTAACCGTACTGTTTAAAGATCCTTACATCTTAGATTATTTGACCAGACAAACATTTCCGCATTTTATTACCACGATCATGGAGTTTTGTGGCTTTACTATAACAATGGGTCCCATTGTTATAGTGGTAAACTAGCATTGTAAGGCTTAACGCTAACTAGGTTAGCCTGTTTGTGTCTAACTTGTAATTGAAGGGAAAAAGATAGAAGCGCCATGGAATTGTTATAATCGGTACAAAGAAAACATCTGGTCTTTTCTTTAACGGTAAACCACTCGGTAAGTAATATAAAACCATCTTTCAAATCGATTTTATTAGGTAACTATTACCTGATTTAGTTATGGGTTTGCGTGTCTTCTAATAATTACGCGTCTTCCTTTCCGTGGAAACACTGCAGCCCCTGCATCATGTCCATTGATTTCGACAGTGCGGCTCTTCAAACACAACATGATGAGGAGGAGTACGACCAGGAGGACTATGCAAGAGAGCAAGAGGTACCTCATGTCGTAGTTTATATGCTCTGTGTTTCTCATTAATAGGGGATTGATGTAAAACGTGCTGAGGAAAAATGGCAACACAAATGATAGTTGATGCCTGTGGTATTATTATAAACATGTAGAAGTAACTATAGTTAATATTTAAGCTTTTTGATTGTAAGAGGGAATAAGTGACATTATACCATTTATACTTAAAGTAAACATATGTAAGATTTTGATTTTAAATTCCATAAACATTATAGCATCTGTGTCCCCAGATAGAAGGAAGACATGCTCAAAACAAACAACAGTTGTAATGCAAAAACAACAAAAACACTGAACATGATGGCCAGGATGTTAGTTCCTCTCAAGATGATAATCCAATCAGAAAGTGGAATGAACCTCACATGAATCTCTCAATTGCTGAAATCCATTTGGTTTAAATCTAAAAGGCCTCTCCCTGATCTGAATCCTCATTACCTAAACTCCAAGACATGCAGCCAATTTTTTATCAGTGCAAGTGTAACTTTTGCAGCTCAGTGAATTAATTCTGGAGGGTTTGAGCTTTCACATGAAACTTTTTTTTTAACTGCAAGTGCAAGCCACACACAGTTCCTTTTAATACTATTAAATACAATTATTTTTAAAATGATCTCTTGCTCATGCTATCATAGTCTCAAATCTGTGCACTGTTACACTATAGTGAAATATTGCATTGAAAGGGAAAATGTGCATTGATGTAATAGGTTGCTTGGTTTTGTTGATTTTTCTACACAAATATGCCATAAAACAAAATTAATAGTTTTGTGGGAGTAGGTTTATTTTCAATAAAATTCATTTAGGGTTAATGCTGTCTGTGCTGGTTGCTTTATCTGTTGTTTAGGGGAACACCTGAGTGCACTGTTGACACACTGAGCAATAAAGTGAGTAACAGGACAGCCTATATATGTATGTGTGTAACCTGTGCTATTATTGGCTCAAGAAAGTAAGTCCTCCTTCCAGCTGAGTCATAAATGTGAAACAGGCTTTCCCTCCTTTCTGATCATTTGGGTTATGTTGTTTTTTGGGCTGGCTGTGAACATGAAGGCACTAGCAATTTGGATTTTTTGGCATTGCTTATTTAGAAAAAGAACATTTGTTTTTGTTTAGCTTTTGTTTTCATCAGAAGTTGGTCAGTTGGAAAATATTCACCACCAGTAGTTGGAATGTTTCTGCTCCAGTTAACCTTGCTATATGTTTCATCAAAACAATGGAAGGCTTTTTGAGCAAATCACAGCAATACCACGGGAGCTGACGACATGCCGGGAGCATTTTGGATATTTCACACAAGGACTTCTTCAGCAATGGATAGGATGTGCATAGCGGCTTAATCAGAAGTGTTTGTTGAGGCTTTGTTAGAGGGACAGCATGGGTCCTGCCAGTGTGGACACAGTGGAGGATTTAAGGGACATTCAGGAGTCGTTATGGGAAGTAAGTTCAGCTGTCTTTTCTTTGCATTTCTTGAATGGGTGAGAAGAATGTCTTTTCTAGATGTCACTGACACTGAGAGGGATTTACATGTGTTGTTTTGGGGTTGTCAGAATATCTTATGACTGATGAAGGAAAATCAGATATTTATAAATTTTATAGGTTAATCACCTATAAAATTTATAAATATTTGATTTTCCTTAATTTTCCTGAAACTGTAGTGAAAAGGATAATGGTATACGTTCAGATTTCTGCTTTTTGGTTGCACAGGTGACCTTCATGTAATACATTTCTTAGAGTAATATGTCACTTATTGTACCTGTAATCTTCAAACTCTAACTGCACAAGGACCAACTAAATTAGGCCTCCACAGCCTCCTGTTACTTGGAAACAGTACAGTTCTTGTAAAATATTTTTTTATATTTTGTTGGTTTGAGCATTTTTATCATGTTAAATATCCCTTTGTCTCCCTCCAGTGATTACAGTTCTGTTTTCATTATTTATTACTCAGTTGCTGGGAAACCTGAGTGACTCATTTCCATGTGCTGTTTTTTTTCTACAGCTGCACAAACTCCTCACAGACCTGCCGGATGACATGCTTGAAGATAGCAGAGACTCCTCCTCCCCAGAGCTAGAGTACTCTACCTGTAGCAAAAAAAATACTGGCAACAGGTAAAACAAATGTAGTTAAAATGAAAGGATAGTGAATGATTGCAAATTAGAAATATATACACTACTTTTCTCTCTCAGTCCACAGGCCAATGGGGCTCAGCAGTGGTCAAATCATGGCAGGCCAACTCATGAACAGGTAATGCGTGTGTGCGTGTGCGTGCGTGTGCGCGTGTGCGTGTGTAGTGTCAACATATTAACCATATTTACTACAAAATATGAGAAAGTTTATATATTTTTGAAGAATTATGAACCCAACTACAACCAGTTCCGACTTGGAGACCGTGTTGTTAATGGACACATGAATGGACATCAAGGTTTAAGTCAGCCTCATGTTTGGAACCAACCACAGGGTCCCCAGTTCAGCCAAGGAGACTACTCGTATAACAGTATAGGCACAGAGAACAATGATTTCTCTGCTGATGACTACGGGACAAGCGCATACCCTCAGGCCTCAAAAATCCCTATTGAATATAACGGAGATGGAGCATATGGAGACAGCCGAGTCCATGGGGAAACTAGAAATCATTTTCAGGTGAGGATCCTTTTTTTCAAACTATGTACACTACAAGTCAAAAGTTTGGACACACTTTTTCATTTATGCTTCTTTATTTCCAAGGCTCTGAAAATAATTATTGTTGTTTTATTCAAAGATATTTAACTCTAAACCACATCAAGGTCAAGAACTTGATAAACTGCAAAGAGAGTTTCTCGATTCAACAGCAAGTAATACTTAACTTACATTTTCTAAACATCCTATAAGACCAGACCATTACAACAAGTTTAAAGTTATGTCTTATTTCAGACACTGCTGATCAGGAACAGCTCTCCCAGTTGCGTGTCTTATACAAAGCTCAGCAGAGACAGATTGAAGACTTGGAGCAGAAACTAGAGGATTCACGACGCAACATGAGATATCTAGAGCATCAGTTTGCAATTGTAAAAGGTAAGTAAGGTTAAAACATGACTTGTTCTGAGATAGACAATTATTTACAAATTAATTTTATCAACAGATGAAAAGGATGGGCTAGCCGTAAGTCTCAAAGAATCAGGTCGATTGATTGAAGAGTATAAAGATCGGGAAGTGACCATGCAAAAAACTGTGAAGGCACTGGAACATCAAGTGCAACTTCTAACTGAGAAGGACCAAGAGGTACATCCTACTGGCCATGCTGCTTGTGTTGACAGTTCTATTAGACTTCAGCCATGTGATACTAGTCTTGTAGACGGCAGGGCAATGAACAAATTATACTTCTTGCTAATTTATATGAATCGCATTACAGAGCATATTTTTATACCCGATGATTCAGTTCTCTGCAGAGGGCACTATATTACTTAATTGCCGCAGCTTTTGCCATCTTCAAATTAAATAGAAGTTTCGGTTCAGTTTAAATTAATTTTGCAGCCCCCATGATACTAGTGTATTTATTTGAACAGAACATGAAGAAGCAGAGAGTGGCGGATGCTGCAGTGGACACCATGAAGCAGCAGATGCTGGACCTGTGCCGCTCTGACACTTTATCCAGATCTCGAGAACAACACGACCGAGACATTACCATCCTGAGGGAGCAACATGATGCTGCGCTTTTGGCCTCTCAGCAGAAGATTGACTCTGTGTCACAGGCACTAGACCAACAGGTGTGTGAACTAGAACTAGAAATAGTGGGCACCTCAGTGCTCTGCCTGGGGACTAGACCAGGACTAAGCCAGAACTAGAACAGGGTTAATCCAAGTGTACCTCAGGACTTCACTGACCTTAAACCAGGGCCAAAGAAGGGAAAGTATGAATGCACCTTGTTCTGTTATGTTATCCTTGTTATTTTTTTATATGAAAAATTTAGTTTTTAGGTAGTCAATGCTGATTGTAATAACATGGTAACTTAGCAGTCCTTGTATTAAAGTTGGACTCTACAATTGTTTTATGTCACTCTTACACCTTACTGGCCACTGCGCATGCTGTACCCATGGTAGTAGAGTCTAGATAGCTATAGTAGAAAACTGGCCCTCAAAAAGCTGGTCAAAATTTTTAAAGAATTTTATGCCTGTAATTTAAATAATGTGTATGTGCATGGAAGAACACTGAAGTTTGTCTGGGTAAAATATCTGGTGTGAATTCAGTTTTAATAAGTTTATGAAATGCTGCCATGTTGTTGTAGGTTGAGCTTACTCAGAAGTTACGGGAGCAGGTGAAGCAGCTGGACCATCAGAGAGAAGAGGACCAACTAGAGAGGGCCAGAGTCATCAACATGCTCACACAACGCCTAGAGGAGAGCCAGCAGCAGTGTGCCAAGTTGCTACAGAGAAGTAAGTATGGCTGGGGAAAAACATGACATTACATAAGTAGGTTTGTTTAGTGTTCAAATTCTACATTGTTCCCTCTTGTCCCATCAGGCTCAGTACAAGAAATGAGTCAGCTGCAAATTAAACTCCAGCAAACCCAGTCTGCAAAGGCACTGAGTGAAAACATGAACAAAGTCTTACAGGTTTGGTGTTTACAGCAATTTGTAACCATCACTAATCAGGCCAATTTTTGTAAAAAAATAAAATAAAATAAAATAAAAAATTGAAAGTCATTAAACACACTTTTTACTTTTCTAGGAGGATCTGGCAGAGCTGAAGGAGCAGATCACTTTATATGAATCTGCTGTAAAACATGGTGTTATTTCCTTGGACCTAAGCAATGACCTGGAGAACCATCTTTCAGAGTCCTGTATTGATTTGCGTTTGAAGAAGACAAACCTGAGAAATGGCACTTTACACAGGTTAATAAAAAAAAAAGTAGTTTGCAGAAACATGCTTACAATGTCATAGTTCCCATTAGTATTATGAATACCCCTGTTTTCTACATGTTTGTTTTGCAGTCCCTTAGCCAATCTGTCCGACACAAAGCTGCCTAAAGATGAGGCGCTGCGGTTGCTGCGGGCGGAGATGCAGCGATGTTTGGGGAATCTGAAAGGAAAGAGGAAGCAGATAGAGCAGCTGCGGGAAGATCTCCGGGTCAGTCAAGCCAGAGCCGATGAGCTGCAGACACAGCTGGAGGAGGCTAAACTCGGCTCTACGGTGAGGACTGTACTCACAATTTTCATGTATTTATTTAACAGGACAACATACAGTCACATAATACCCAAGGGCAGAGATGCTACTACCAGATTGTTGCTTCGGAAGCTCATTTCCATCTTCAGTCATTTTTAAAGAGTACATTCAATCATCACTCAGTCATTCACTTCACACATCCTTATCCCATTATATTAGTACAAATGTAGCAACAGTGACTTTATAGTATTATCTATAAAATAGCATAAAAATTGAAAATACAGTTGTAAATAGTTTTCTATAAAAGGGCTGTGACATTTATCTTTGTTACAAAAGCCACATTGAGGGGAAACTTTAATGTTAAGGTTAACAAGAACATGATTTTAAACAGTACAAATTTGTGAATTATTTGATATGAATGAGTAATTGAGCGCATGAATGATTGTCTCTGTGTCTGAATGTCACCATGCCAGTACAACTACATGCCCCTAATCACTGTGTTGTCTCTTTACAGATCAGAGGAGAAAATAGTCAAGAAAACTTTACGGACATGCATGGTACGTCTCAGAAAGAGCTCAAGCAACTAGAGGAAGACAAACAACACTTACAGGAACAAGTGGAGGTATGTGGCTGTTAGAAATCATTGTTGCAGCTATTGAATTACTTTTCTGTAACTTTTTATTACTTTGCTAATTACAGATCCTGGAGAAGAAGTATAAGGAGCTGAAACAGAATGAGGAGAAAGTGAAGGCTGCAAACTTGGAGCTGTGCACTAAGATGAGAGAGATGATCCAGGAGTTAGATCAGGAAAAGCAGGAGGCAGCTGAACGGTACAGAGCACTTTTGTATACAACCTACGTTACCTACAAAAATTTACTGTAGTCATTGCACCATGTCATGACTATTGACATTTTAATGAAGTATTTTGCGACCTTTTTCATCTGGTAGATCAGAGAGGGTTCACCAGCAGCACAGGGACGATGTAGTGCAGCGCATCAGAGCTGAGCTCATTCAGGAGCACACAGCTCAGATCGAACAACTGACCCAACAGCACCAGCAGCAGCTACAGGACTTACAGTAAGTTTAAAATAATTTATTTTATGCTATTTACATACACATTTACATCAGTGTAATTGATGTTTTTCTTCTAAGAACTCAGCTGTCTGAAGCTCATGATAAAATGTCAGCCGTTCAAGAGTGTTACATTTCTGTCTGCAAAGAAAAGGATGCACTGGAGGAAAGTATTCGTAACAAAGATAATGAAGAGACTACATTAAAACAGACCAAGGTAAATTAACAAAATGAAGAAATTTAATATATAGATATTATTTATAATAAACACTGATGTAGACTTTGACACTGGCTGTTTAAAAAACGTACCTTCGACCTAATAAGAATACCACAAAACTTGCTTGTTTTAGCAAAAGTTGCAAGAAGAGGCTGATGCTGCTCTGAAAAGGCTGAGAGATGAGCTGGAGACTCAGCATCAGGCGTCAGTCACTGAACTCAAAGCAGTTTGGACCAAAGACAAGGAAAAGGAAATCCAACAGAAAGTGGACACACATGTAGCTCAGATCAATGCAACCTGGAAGGAAGAGATGAAGAAGGTACTGAAATGTTATGAATGCAGATATCATTGACAGCACATTGATGTTATTTATTATGTATGCAGGACTTAATGGTTACACTGTCAAAAGATTAAGTGGAAGTAGTACGTATGCAGTGTTACCCATGCACTAAGTATTACTAAGAAAATAACTGTTGCTGTTGTGTGTTTTTTTTGATCCAATACTTTTTCACTCTAATGAGGAAAATCCATTTGTAGCTTTCACTTATAATTTCAACCTTTGTCTTGGTTGCTGCAGATGGAACACAGTTGGTCCCAAAAGCTTGAGGAGGCAAACCGAAAGAGGTACAGTGAAACAGTGGAGACGACCAGTCAGACGAGTGATTGTCTAGACAGAAATGTGACAGTCAGTGCTGAGGAGCTGGAGTCCAGGCTCAAGGCTCAGAAAATACAGCTGCAAACAGAAATGGACAGAGCCAAAGTGAAGGCTGTGGAGGAGACAAAGAGACAAGTCCAGAAAGAGCTTCATGAGAAACATCTGGAGGATATGGCCAAACAGGTGTGTATTCATATACCTACATTTTTCATTTATAGTTTGAGTGTTGAAAAATGGGGACAGTCGCCATTGTCAGCTAATAGGGGTGAGGTGAGATGCATAATATTACAATATTATTATCTACTAAATTGTCATTTTTGTCAATGTACTTTTTGTTGCTGAAGGTTGAAGGTGCAGTAACCAGAGCATACAATCGCTGGGTAGAGGACTTGACTTCACTGCCAGAATACCAGGCCTCTCTCCAAAGTGAGAAAGAGAAATGGGAAGAATGTCAGCAAAAACTCACAGATCAAAAGGTAAGTAGCCCCAATGAGAATATTCTCCAATATTTAACTAATATTAGACAGGTGATTGATTGTTCACCAGTGCAGACTACTTTAGTTGTACCCCTGAAGATTTGTTTTTCAGCAGCCTGAATGTTTTGGATGTCCTTCTGATTATTTAACTTTATGCTTTTTCTTTTACATTTTGTCAGATCTCCCAAGCCGTACGTGCAGCAGAGGACCTGTGGGCAAAGCGTCAGAGGAGCCAGCAGGAGGGGCAAGCGTCATCTCACCTGGAGGAAGAGCTACAACAGACTGTGTCAACCCTTCAAAGCCAACTGGACCAAACCAGGAGAGAGCAGGCAGCTTTGCTGAAGGCTGAACTGTCAGCCGCCAGAACTGTCTGGAACCGAGATAAACTACAAGAAATCAACAAAGCCCAGGTGCGCAGTGAACAGGCGTATCAGAAGAAACTAGAACAAGCTTTACAACAGGTCAAAGAGGAAGTAGAGCTTGAGAAGAAAGACCTGCTATCTCAGACTGAAGCTAGAATTCAACAAGCAGTGAAAACCCGAGAACAAGAGTTGAAATGTTGCTTTGCAGAAAAAGAGAAGGCTCAAATGAAGGAGATAAAAGAGGAGATGCACGCTGAAATTCAGGCTGCACTGGCACAAGTCCAAACTCAACTCTTTGTGGAGCAGCAGGGATCTGAGGAAGCCAAGAAAACCAGCAGGGGACAGTCAGAGGACACAATAACACATGTTGTTCAAAACCTCTGCAAAAATATAGTCAACAGAGCAGTGTCCCAAGCAAAGAAGGAATGGAAGAAGGTAAGTTTCATCAATGTGATATTCATTTGGAGTGTGGTTCTGGTTGATTAATGAGCAGAGACTACTTTTGTGTTTTGTTTATTATTATTATTTTATTAGTTTTAGCATCTGATATTTTGTGAAATTTTAAGTAGTGTCATAAAATCTAAGCCAAATAGAAAACGTGAATCACTGACACTAGGTGGCAAAATGCTTTTTTGCAACCTCAAATGGGATAATCATTTTCCTCAGTTGCAAGTTTTCTTTAGAACTTTACTTTCAAAATCTGCATGTATTGTATGTATATTTGCAGTATATATAGCTTTTTATATGGCTGTTTATAGCTGCACTGATCATGGCAGGCGAGCCCTGCAGCACATATTGAAGATCATTGGTGCACCATTTCCCTCCCTGCAAGACATAGACAAACCCATCACAATTGTGAGTGATGCAAAGTCACCCCACACACAATCTGTTCAGCCTCCTGCCCTCCGGGAGAAGGTACAGGATCCTCTGTTCCCGCACCACCAGACTGACTAGCAGCTTCATACCCCAGGCTGCAGGATGCTGAACTCTCTCCTCTATAACCACGAGGCAACCAGGAAGCACAGAAGAATTTTGGACTTTTCCTTTTATTTTATTATCATTTAATTTAGAAGACTGAGAGTGAGAACATAATTTAAATTTTTTATATGTTCATATGGAAATTTGACAATAAACTTGATTTTTATTTTTATGATTGATATAAAATTATTAATATCAATGTTATTTTTTGTTCCTTAAGATGAGTGAGGAAAAACTAAGCTTGGTATTGAAAGAAACCCAGGAACAGTATGAAAAAGAAATAAACAAAATGCAAGGTATGTAAATTGTCTCCTGCTATATTTTCAATTTTTTACAGTGTTGTGGTTTCCTGGAGTATAATATATGCATGGCCATTTTTTATGTCCAGCCTGTGCGCCTCAGTGGGTCGAGCAGGGGCGATGCAGAAAGGAATGCACTGAAACTGTTAGTACACTGCAGAAGAAGAACCACGAGCTTCAGAGGCATTTGGAGAAGGCCTGTCGTCAGCTGCAGACTGTGGTGAGAGAGAACAAAGCAGCCATGAAGAAACTCAAAGGTGAGTCAGGTTTCCCCATGTACAGCAATCATGCATTACAGAGTGACCACTGAAGGGTGAAGTAACTATAAGAATATAGTGCCCTCTGCATCTGTTTATTGTCAGATTAATTGGATTATAATATAATAATAAATATATACATGGCTGTGTAGACTATAATTATAATATTAAAATATTCTGGGCAGTTTATTTGATGATATTTTATAGAGGAACATGAGGGGTCCCTTCAGAAGATTAAAGAGGAGCACTTGCAGCAGCTCGAGGAAGCAAAAAGGATGATAGAAAAATCTGGGTTTGTGTCTTTACCTCTTTGTTTGAAAAAGCATTTATTCTTTTTATGTCATAACATTACCAAAATACATCCATATTATACAATATTTAAACTTTTATTCCAATATACATCAACTTATGATATACTTATGTTTTCCCCCAGGAGTACTGACCAACAACATTTTCAGCAAGGCCTGGAAGATATGAAACGGCAATATCTAAACACTGTCGAGAAAATAAGAGGTTTGTATTTTGCACACAGAAAGTGAGTGAGTTGTACAATTATGTACTTAAAATATTCCCTCATTTAAAACGTCCTCTCATTAATAAAAATGTCAATACAATAGTGACAGTGGAATCCAACTGTTCAGTGATAACTGCATTTTTCGCACTTTTTCACACAAATATGTGTCCTTATATTGCCACAATTACATCCCCATAAATGTCCCCTCTTCACAATAAATTTGATACCTATGTCAATGTGACTCTTTTTAAGTGGCACAAATGTGTTCTCACCACTGACTTGTACATCTTTCCATTCATTCTTGTTGAAATATAACTATAAAAATGTTATAGTTTACTCTAAAATTTTGTCTTCTTTTTTTTTTCTTTTTCCCAGGGGACATGATGCTTTACCTACAGGAAAGTCGAGAGCGAGCAGCAGAGATGATTCGAGTGGAGGTGCAGAGAGAGAGACAGGACACAGCACGAAAAATGAGGCATTACTACCTCACCTGTTTACATGAACTACTGGAAGATGGAGGCCAGACCACTGGGTAAAATATGGTTCAGGATGCACTGACAGTTGTGCTTTATTCATAATACTTAATACCTTTTTTATTTTGTTTTTTTAAGAGCTGAGAAGAAAATAATGAATGCAGCGAGTAAACTGGCGGCTATGGCTAAAGTGCTTGAAACGCCCATCAAGAATAAACCTGCAAATTATGCTTTAACTAGTAAGTAATAAACCGCCAATACCAGACTACACTAACTGTTGAAGAAAATGTCCACGTTCATAATGACAAGAGCCAAAATATTTAGATCAATCAAATTCAATATGATGATGTTTGTCAGAAATCTTTTTACTACAGTTTTTTTTTACTTGCTATACTATTCTTATTGGTGCATATTTAGATTTTTTTTTTTAAATATTCCATAATGTTTTTTATTCATTAAATGTGTACACTTGGTTACAACTTGTGATGTCAGTAAGTGGTTAACCAGGAAGTTTTCTGTTTTTAATAGTCTATAAACCCAACAACTTTTTATCATTTTTTCACTCAAATTGCCTTCACTAATATGCATCTCAGCTGAATATGAAACAGCTGTTGTTTTGCTTCTCTAAATAGTCATGTTTTTGTATGTGCACAAATCATATTACATATTTTCCATAGTTAAACCTTATTTATATATTCTGAAATTCTAAATGATGGCTATTGATGCTAATGTGTATACAAAATGCTACAGATAAGGCCCTTTAATTCATCAGTTAATGTGTGTTTGGTTTCAGGTGGCGGGACAACTGTTGCTGTTAAAATGACAAAGTTCGAAAAGAGCCCTCTGCTTGAGCACTCCGATAAGAGACTGGATGTCAGAGTCCAACAACAACAAAAAACAACTGATTTGAACCTTAAACAATCAACTACAGGAAGGACTAAATCTGTCAGTCATCAAGACCAGCCTATACCAACTCAGAACACCCTCACTTCATGCAGAAAAACTTCACCTTCTCAAAGCACTGATGCTTCTGTTCGGAGCAAAACCAGGAACCTATTGTTGCAAGGGCAGGTAGCAGAAAGCAGCTTGGATCCAACAGCAAAAATATTTCTTCAAGAGCTTCCTGTTCGGGAGGAAAAACGACCCACAGATTGGAGCTTAAGTAGCAATGACTCAGACACAGGCCCCCCAAACCCTCGCTTATCCTACTCTGGGAGGAGAGTCAAACCAGTCAAGCCCTTTTCAGTATCTGTAGCTTCAAACTGTGATTTTGTGGAGTTTGCTGGACTGACGCCAGATGCCTCAGACCTAACTATTTATAATGAAATTGTGAAAAAGACACCCGATATGCAAAATGCTGATTTTTACAATGTAAACTTGGGTGCACATAGACAACCTACGCCCGGATCTGAATCTGCAAAACAATATGACATTTGTCCAAAACTGTTATTTTCTGAGTTAAGACAAAGGCAGCAGGACAGTGGCTTTGGGAGTCCATTTTACCAACAGAAATTAAAATAAGAGCCAGAATGAGTAAAGTATGGTGCCTTATATAGTTTACAAATTTACATTTCATAAACTAGTTGTCTTGTTTTTTATCTTGTTGAAAGGATAGCAATTTTCTGGTCATTACACAGATCCCCTGAAGTGCCTACATTACACTAACTAGCCCAGTTGAGTTTACATTTCAGTTATTGTCTTTGTTTTTTTTAGCAGTAGCAGATGTGTGAAGAGAGATTTTAGCCAGTTCATCTGTTGAAGGCTACTACCTATTACTGTGATTATTATTACCACTTGGGAATAGCAGTTTTACAAGTCTGACAATTTCATTACATTATAATTTGGTTAACTATTGGTTAATGTGTTTTATCAACCTTGTAATATTGTTTGTGTAACCCAACTTTAATACACATATTTAATAGGTTGCCTTTTCAGTGTGAAGAACAGGAAACGTTGAGTATAGCTGGTATGTCCTTGCATATTTATTGCCTTCAAATACACACTACAGTATTTGGGCTTGCTTCCAGCAGTGAAGACCACATATCTTGCAGTGGTTTGAGTAACTATCATTGTATAATAGTTGTAGGTGTTTCATTGTATTTTGTATTAAATTAATATAATGTTCTATTTTATGTTTTTACTAGAAATGTATTTTAATAAATTGTATTTTTTTACGTGACTAATGCTTATCGACAGTGTTTCGAAAACTGAGGAATTAAATTATAGTTACTTGGGTTAGTAAATTATAGTAATGAGCAATCTAATTACTTTATTTCAAAATTAATTAATCAGACTAGTAATTAAGTTACTTTTAGAAGGGTACACAGTCAGTACTCCGATTTCTTTTACAAAGTAATATGACCAAGACTGCTTATCATGACATGTTGCCACATACTTGAAAAGGTTGAGATGATGAGTTAAACGGTGACGTGCGTTTAGGGTAGGCTGTCCTTTTGGGAATAAAGAACTGCCGTGTCAATAAGAATAAATAAATACTTTAAATGTAGTATTCAATATATGCTCTTGCCAGAATAAAGTTTACCAAATGTATTAACAATTATGGCACTTTTAATAAAACATTTAATAAACAGGCAATTTTAGTCCAGTGGGATTTAAACATTAAACAGCACACAAATCAAGGAAAAACACACATCAAATCAAAAGGTAACTTAGAATATTGTGGCACTCCACTACAATATACCATATTGCACTATTGTCTGAAGTTTTACTAAAACCAACAATACTTAATAAAATAAAGTTTTAAGTCTGCACATACTTTTCACAAGGCACGTTTGCTTCCCTCAGTTTATCAGAGTGCAAATCAACATAATGTGGGTTAAACATACAATTTTAAGGCTTAAAGTTTAAAAGTTATTGCTTATCTGATGATGATTTTTGGGATATTTTCTTGTCGTGTTCAACTAACCCAGTCTTTTTGTTTTTATTGCTTGGTTTACAAATCAGCTGTTTTTACATTGGGACATAGCACTTCAGATTTGAATAGCCACAGAAACACTCCTTGAAATTATTTTTTCTATTCCAACCATTCAGACTCAAAGAGATATTTACTACCAACATATCCAATCCATTTTCATTTGTTTTTTCAGGCACAAATTGTCCAAATGTGACAATGTTTTGTATAGGGTGACAGTGGAGGTAGGGGTGTGCAAAAATATTGAAATATCGATATATTATATCGTTTAGTGTGATGATACAGTATTGATATCGTGGGCTGCTGTATCGATATTTTACCAAGAGTATTTTATAGTATATTTTACTAAATGATTTAGTTATTTTTTGTTGCTTGTTTGAAGAAAGGAAACTCATTTATGCAACACATTTGACATTTTCACTGTTTTGATGAGTAAAATGGGTTTTTTCATATTAACTTTGCACAAGAAGTGGTTTAACAAAGACTTTTGGTATCACAGCCATGATTTAGCCTTTATTTTTATTGAACCATATTGAATCGATTTGAAATATATCGAATCGAATCAAAAGTGCACTGTATCAAGATATGTATCGGATTGTGGCAAGGTATGTATGTTTGTAAAACATCTTAAATTCATTTTGTTTGGTTTATAATGGAAGTCAATGGATACACAAATTTTCGAAACACACTCAGTGTATACAAAACGTCTCACGTTGCCAAAACTGAACTGATTGCGATGAAACTCACATGTCTAAAAACCTGTGAAAATACACGTCTCTGTGCATTTTCATGGCAATTAAACAACCACGGCCAAAGTTGTCATGATAAATATATTGTCAGATACACAAATTTCTCTTAATAAGGCACAATGGTTAATATGCTAGACTAGAGCTTGTCTAAATTGTCTTATACACACATAATGCATGCACATATATGCACATAAATTTCCCCTGCATTTTGGATGGAATTGTGTGGAGGTATTCCATTTTAGTACTCAGGGGGTGCTTCCTGATGAGTTAGTCCCCTCCCCTATCTGGAGCAGTGCTCAATGCTCATGAGTAGAGGCCACAGAGGCATTGAAGAATGGGTCAAATACAGAGGATAAATTTCTCTTTGGGGACTATAAAGTACGTTATACATAGACCTGTCACTATCAGGTGCTGTAAAGATTACTGCAATCTGATAGTGTGCCAGCTATGGAATGATGTGACCGTGGGGCACCAATGAGGTCAAAATAAATAGGAAAAACAGAAAAACCTGTGTGCACTTTTAATTATTTAAATATAACTGTTCTGGTACTCGCTTATCTCCATGGAGATGTCTTTGTTTTACTTTTTTGGCATTTAACTTGGCTTCATGGAGCCCAGCGGCTGGCGTCACACAGCCAAGTTACAGGTTAAACTTGTGTTCCTTATGCCATACTGTGGAACATTCCTGGCAAAGCAATAACACCTAAACAGAGACAAGCAGGAGATGGACCCTATTACCTGCATATTTAGTTCAGTTGCTTGTTCCTATCACTGTGCTGGTCTCTCTTCCTTTTTGTTTTCAGACATATTTTCTGATATATGAAGTGGCTATTTTGAGGTAAAATTAGGCTATTTCCCCCAATATTTGTTTATAGTCATTCTAAACCAGTAGGCTTTATATTTAAATCTTCCTCATTATATAGACTTTTATTGGAATGGCATGTAGTTTCCCGTACAGTAATGTCGCCATATAAAACCAATGTTGTTGCAGTTGATGAGTCTATATGCCTTTATGTGCTGTGGTTGAAGGAGCTGGTTTGAAATTCATCTGGAGGTTGCCAGAAGTTTGCTGTCACAAATGTCACATGTTACTGTCACAATATTACTTAGCTTACTACAATGCCAATTTTTGTTGGATGTTTTACTCAAATTTAATGCAATGGCAGTAACTAGCCACAAGAGGTCAGTTAATTTGGTTACTTCTGGTAACTTTTGCACTTCTAAATTTTGGGACAGAACATTCCCCCTAACAGAATGGGGGCTCTTTTCCAGTTATTAAAAAAGTCTTAATAAGTAGTTCGTGTTCATGTAACATGATAACACACCAGAAAAGCTTTAGTTTAAAACTGAGCTGGTGGGCAGGTCAGAATTCTGTAGTAAAATTTACTGTCAAAATACAAACATTTGGCATTTAACTTTTATGTCCTGATTCATGATTAATATTTCTGCAATATACTGGGGCTATACACACGAAACAAACTGGCTTAACTCTCTGGCTACCTGGGGACCCTCGAGGGACCTTTTAAGCAACTTCTTTTTTTTTCCAAACATGAATATTTCTCAGCTATGTTGGGGGTCACATTTTAAAATGCCACTGTGAGTTTTTATCTCACATGTTAGACATTACACATAATGGATATAATGCACGACAAAGTCCTATTTTCAGGCATAAATCTTTCCCATTCACAACACAATAATGTACAATTTTTTTCCACCATGAATTATTATTGACTCAGGATCAACCAGTATGATACTGGTATGGGATATCCCAGGTTCGTCAATAAATTGGTATAAGACAATTTACTGATTAATATTACCTTTAAATATTACAGCTGTACTTTTACAAAGCTGTTGTGTAGTTACAAAATGTGTGTATCATTTTTTACCTTATGTAGTTTGTGTTCAATGGAAATAAATCATATTTTCAGCTTCTGCACTGGTATCGGTTAATATTGAGTATGGTAATCCTGGATCAATGCATCCCCATTATTAGCATAAACTAGGCTCTAATAAATTTAGGTCAACTCTTAATTTAAAAAATATGTAATTTTTTTCTACTTTTTTATAGTTTACTCAGGATGTAATGCGGAATGTGATGCACCAAATTTGTTTTCATTGTGAATTATTCAGATATAATAAGCTGCAATTAATTTATCTAAAAATGAAAAACTTCACTCTTTTAATTTTGGGAATGTGTCATTTTTATATTTTTTATTGTTTACTGTGAGTGTACTTTTATTGCAAAATTGCCTTATTAAAGTAAAAAATATACAATGCATTGTATAAAGTTTACACATGCATGAGTAGATCAGAGGCAGCTAAAGAGATTAGAGTTTTGGAAGTAGAAAAAGGGTGACAACATCAGTATCAGTAAAAGTATTTTAAACCATAACAATAATATGGCAAGCAAGTCAATCTTCAACAAATGATCAATCAACTGATTGATTGATCACTAAATTTGTCTCTGAAGGACAATTTAAGCACATTGAGGGTTAAAATACAATAGAAATATTAGAAAAGCTCAAAAATAAGTCTCAGCAGCTCAACAGGTAGGGTAATCAGATCCAGTGTGAGGACAATAACCACCCTCAGGTCAAAGTCCTTCTTTATTCTCTTCTCTGTCTTCAACAACATAAAGCCTAACTCTCACTCTACTCTATTGCTTTGGTTAGTGATAAGACAGGCCTGTTTCCTCTAGAATGTTTTCTGTCATATATTATGTAGAAATCTTGTTGCGTTGTTGTAAAAGCTGACAAGCTTAGTTAGCTCCAGGTAGGGTCGCCATGGATACAAGAAAAACAAACTGATGAAGTCACACAATCCAGTAGACCCTAACCATCATCCTTTGAACTGCACAAGATGCACTTCTTTATTAATTAATATCTCATAATATTAAGTAAAACGTAAAATAAAAAATAAAAATAAAAACTGTTCAATGTGCTAGCCAGTTGGCCACAAGAGCAACCAACCACCAAATGATTTTGGTTGGGTGTTTGGATGTTTCTTTCAAAAACAGTTCACCTCCCACAGCTTTTGCCCACAGTCTGCCCTCAATCTGAAATAATGGCATCATCAACCTCTTCAACATAGCACAGCTTATTCTTCTCGAGTTTGTTTATTACTTTTATCTCTGTCTAAGGCTTCAATATGTGCAGGGGTTTGTAATGTGGAGCATATGAAATGGGTTTACTCCACTGGTATAACTTTCAAAATACAGTACAGTTACAGTCTGTCCCTTGCTGAATGGTGCGAGTGAGACTATACATCCTTTGTCCTCAGCCCACTGTGCAGTCCAGCGCCCTACCCCGCAAGCTTTGGTGCCAGCACACTGTGTTCTGACCAGTGCAATGTTGTTATATTTCTTATGTGTTTATCTCTGTAATTTGTAGTCTAGCTAGTAACCCTTATGCCTTTTTAAGGGAAATTCATGTATTTAAAGGTATCATGATAACTTTGGCTGAGGTTGTTCAATTACCATGAAAATTCACACAGACATGT